ACAAATGCCGGAGAATCCCGGACAAAACGACAACTTATCAAATCACCGTTTGTTGGTAGGAGGAGCACTAGTCCAATAAAATGATCAGGAAGGCAAAGAAATCGGAAAACGGGTGCTTTTTGGAACGTAAATAGCCCCAACTATCATGCCTGCTAGAAATGCGGAATCAGGAATGCTAACACTGAACCCATGGAATATGCTTTATTGCATCAATATCCTGAACCTTGACATAGCTTGTGCGAAATGCCTTTTCATATTTTGGAGGCGCTGTTTAGTTGGAAACGGTACCGAGGCTTTGAAAGCACTGTTTTAACGCCTCGAGCATTAAGGTCTACCTGGAGAAGTACTGCAAGTAGAGAGGGTAAGTCAACTCTGCGCGTAAAAACCAGTCCAGATTCCATGTCCCCTTTCAAACAGTGACCTCTATTATAAATTTATCCTCTTGACAGCTTGAGGGACCAAATCGTGTTGAACAGTTTTGTGTAGCTAGTGCACAGCCTCGTCAGCCAAAAAGCCGAAACAAAGTGAGATGAATTCAGCCCGAATCTACTTCCTCATCGATTTCTTATAATAAACAATCTGACGCCATCCGTCGCGTCTTGGAGGGTAGTCAACTGACTGCACAGCTCGATCAAACTCAGATCTGTAGATCAGTCGACAGTCACTTCTTTCGACATTGCCATTTGACCAGAACTCCACTTTCCTCAACGCCAGTAATTGTCCTCGCGCTCATCTCTGGTCACCTTAAATCCTCGTTGTCACCAGAAGGTAGTGAATGAAGGAAAAAGTGACGTGAGGTAGATGCGGTGTAAGTCTGTCGTGCAAATGCCCAATTCGTGCGCAAGTCTGTATTGATCTCTCTTGAATAGCTCTGTCATCCGCTTGTCCAGTGGGCACTGTAACAGCAAACAACGTTAACCAGACGAGACTTTCATGTAATATGAAGCAGAGGCAAATTGATTTAAAGTTTCCATAAGGCCTAGCATGCATGCAAACTATCGGGATTTAGGGCAGCTAATAATTGGAAACTCACAAAGAAGATAGGCCTAGAACATGGTCCCAGAGGGATCATTGTTTAACTGAAACAAGGCGGCGAGAAAGTCAGTCAGAGTTGAGGAATGATCTCAGCGTTAAATGGGGGTTAGCAACTGAAATCCTATCTGTCGCATAAGCAATTGTCTCCCATATCGGACTTCAGCAGTACGGAGTAGGAAATGGAGACAGTGAGACAGTTATACTATTACCTGCGCACCTCTGTGACGACTAATAAGCACTTTCTTTGTCCGCTTTTTCTAGTAGATCAAGTGCACGTCAACTTTATTCTACAAGTTGGGTCGTTAGAAAAATCCGCATACAATCAAATGGGTAGGGGATAACAGGGGTAAATGTTTTCTAAAAAAGCACACAATTCGTGAAATAGGAATCTTCCTAGCATTACACACATACTACGCATCAGCTATTTTTATGTCTAGACATTGCTGCGCCAAGTACGGTCAGGGAGCCTCTCCATCTCGTATTTCACACGAAATCCAATAAATTTTCCAGAAATGATGGCCCGTACTCGGCACAGAGGTTGAACTAGGCGATTTGTCAGGGTAAACTCAAAGGTCCAATTCAGAGATGTAAGCAACAGTTTGATTTGAATGCGTTACCGTAGATAAATGTACTCAGTCTGTTTTGCGTGAGTAAAGTGATAGTCTGTCTGCAGGGTCAACTGTGGAATTTAGCCCAAACTTTTGACCTTTGCGTATCAGAGGCTGATGGACTTTGAGGCGTCTAATCCATACTTTTGAACATGCAAGCGTGCTTTTGAATGGAAAAATTTTTAAATCAAGGTCAAAGCCTGTATAGTTTTATCGCAAACAATATAGATTTTCAGTCTTACATGGACAGGACTTCTGCCATTCCAATAAATTTGCCATGTCTAAACAACATAATATTGTTATTGATATTCATCTTATATTTTTAATTTATTTACATATGTTCATTAGAAATTCGGAGTTTTGGTTCAATCATTTGTGCCGGTTTACGAGAATGCAACGATGTTTAGTAAATTTTAGCATATTTCAGGAGTTACCAAACCTACTGTATGACTAGCAAAATGGCCGCTCTGTATGAGTTAGGTAAGTGAGCAGGAACCGACAATTCCTGTTTTATATCAAGCGAATTTGTGCCCGGTTTCAAGAGTATGCATGCGACTTGGGATAAGTGGTCCCGCCTCTTCACTACCAATTAGTGTTCATGTAGGCGTGTAGAGGCGGATTTTCTGATTTGACCACAATACACTGCATTACAAGTACCACATGGACTCTTATAGACTACTTCTGTTTTAGACAGTCAAACCGGAAAATCCACCTCTACACGCCCACATGAACACCAATTGACAGTGAAAAGGCGGGACCACTTATCCCAAGTCGCCATGCATACCTTTGAAACTGGGCACAAATTCGCTTGGGATAAAACACGCATTGTCGGTTCCCGCCCACATAAGAAAGGCCGAGAATTCCTAGAGGCCATTCACTCTGATGATTCATGCATCAATCGAAGCATCGATCTTGACGCCATGTACACAAATCTCAAGGCATCTAACTCGATATGCCTGTTGATGCATGACTCATCGGAGTGCATGGCTTCAATAAACTCTCGGCCTTTTTTTAGATGGGCAAACTCCGGCGATGCGAGTTTTGTCCCATGCGAAAATGTGCCCAGTATCAAGGGTGTGCATGGCCATTTGAGACAAGTGGTCTCGCCTCTTAACTGCAAGTTGATGTTCGTGGATGCGAGTAGAGGCAAATTTTCCCGTTTGGTCACAATATACGGCATCACAGGCATCGCATGGTATCTTATAAACCAATTTTTCGTTCGATCACCAATATTATGAACAATTAAAAGGTACCCCAATGGGATCACCCATATCTGGATTTCTTGCCGAGGTGACAATGCAGAAATTGGAATCGGTAGCTCTTCCACTAGTTAACCTTAAATTATAGGTACGATATGTAGAAGACACGTTTGTCGTCGTTAAAACGGATCAACTAGAAATACTCCACAACACAATCAATTCAACCATTCCGGAAATTAAATTCACGTTGGAAAAAGAACTTGACAATAAACTCCCATTTCTGGATGTTCCCGTACAGCGTAAGACTGACGGAACATTACACACGTCCGTTTACCGCAAAGAAACATATGCGGAAATAATTCTACACTATGAAAGCAACAGTCCGATCTCTCACAAGAGGAGTACTGTCAAAAGTCCGATACATCGAGCAAAAACACATTGCTCTGATGAAGAAAGTTACAAAATTGAACTAAACTACCTATTTGAATTATTTTCTCAGAACGGTTACCCTAGAGATTTCGTACGTCGATGTATTAGACAACAAGAAATAAAAACAAAGGAACTAGATAGTTTCAATCAAGCGCCCAAAACAAACACTTGCCGAATCCTTTCTTACATTAGGTATGTGTCTGAACTTGTTGAAAGACACTTGAGGAAACACCAGATAAAAGTGGCGCACAAGCCGACGACTACTTTACGTACCAAGCTTGTACACCCTGGGATAGGGTTGGCTATCTCGATAGAAGAGAAGTCGTCTATAAGATCCCATGCGATGCCTGTGATGCCGTATATTGTGGCCAAACTGGAAAATGTGCCCCTACTCGCATCCACGAACATCAACTTGCAGTTAAGAGGCGAGACCACTTGTCTCAAATGGCCATGCATACCCTTGATACTGGGCACATTTTCGCATGGGACAAAACTCTCATTGTCGGAGTTTGCCCATCTAAAAAAGGCTGAGAGTTTCTTGAAGCCATGCACTCCGATGAGTCATGCATCAACAGGCATATCGAGTTAGATGCCACGTATAAAAATCTCAGAGACAAGTGGAAGAGACGAAAACCGATCAATACGGACTGACGCATACGACGGCAGCGACTGGCTGAGGCACCGAGTGAGTATTGATTTTGTAGCACGTTTGAAATTTTAACTGTTTTCCGCACATTTACTCTAGTCTGACGACGACACGGGGAACCGACGTCGAAAATTTATTCAATAAAGTTTTCGCTCTTTCCCAAAGAACGCATTTGATTTCATATATATATGAGAAGATAAGACGACCACAGGAACCATGAATTTATTTGCCTGACGTTTCGAAACGTCTCCAAACGTTCTTCATATTTGAAGGGACTGTGTACGGACAAATCAAAGGTACGCCGATGGACTCACCACTATCCGGTTTCATCGCCGAAGCTGTTTTTCAGAAGTTGGAGACGTTGGTGTTCGCAACATATAAGCCAAAATTTTGGGCGCGGTATGTGGACGACACTTTTGTCGTTCTCAAACGGGAAATGGTCTCGAATTTCCACGCGCTACTGAACTCTGTTCTTCCCGATATTCAATTCACCATGGAGACAGAGAACAACAATCAGATCGCGTTTCTAGACGTTCTGATCCATCGCAAGGTCAACGGGAGCCTGAAAACCACGGTCTACAGGAAGGCCACTAACACTCGCCAAATCCTGTCCTACCACAGCAATCACCCGCTGTGTCACAAACGAAGCTGTGTTTGACCTCTCTACAGGAGAGTTGACACTCACTGCAGCGAACCGACCGACAAGGTAGCCGAACTCCACTATCTACGGCAGATGTTCACCTGCATCGGTTACCCCGCAGCTTTATAGAACGCAACAGACTGTCCAGACCAACCGTAAAGTCAACGGCAAATCAGCCGAAAGTCTGTTGAGCTCTGCCATATATTGCGAACGTTTCCGAGGCAGTTGCTCGTATCTTGCAACCATTGGGTATCGTCATCGCCTACAAACCCGAAGCGACAATTAGACGTTTGGTCATGAGACCAAAAACGCCTCTGCCACGAGGCGAAACTGCCAACGTCGTCTAGCGGATCCCTTGTAGTTCCTGCGAGGCAAACTACGTTGGAGAAACCGGGAAGAGATTGCAGACCCGCATGGACGAGCACGCAAGAGCGGAACGAAGAATGGATCAGCTCTCGTTGGTGGTAGACCATTGCGCAGCTTTTGGCCACGCCTTCGCCTTCCAAGACGCCGAAATCTTGGGCCAAGTGAGCGATCAAACGGTCAGGGAGACGCTCGAAGCCTGGCGCCCCACAACTACCTCAATCAACCGATGCGTAACTCTGCCGGCTGCCTACCAAGCCCTACGGATAAGGTTCAATAGGCAGGGCTACCGACGAGTCGTCAGGCCAGAGACGGCATTACTCAAACCCGAACCAAGCGGGAACGCAGACGGGCATAGACAGGCACCGGGAACGGACGAAGCCGGGGGACAACCGGCGGCGAACGCAAACCCAGGAGACCGCCTTCTGGGTCCGAACGCAGACAGACGCCAGCACTCGATGAGAACGCCCGACAGTGACAGGAACCCGCAGCCCGACGTAAACAGTGGCATGACAACCACCGTCAACGCGGTTACGGGCAGGTGCGAACGGGGCAGGAAGGCGAGATGCGTCGAGGGCGGACAACGGACAATGCAAACAAGAGCAATGGCCGCGGTCACCCCGGCGCCGCTCCCCTCCCCACACCCGACAGAGGATGAGGAGGAACCGATGCCGCCATGGCAACCATCGCCATACCGTGTGATGCCGCGCGCTGGAAGTCAATGACACGACAGCACGAAGGAAAACCCACAAATACTGTGACGTGCAGTACGCAAGCCACCTCTGATGATGGAAGCTTGTCTGCTTTCGAAACGTCAGGCAAATAAATCCATGGTTCCTGTGATCGCCTTATCTTCTCAGTTATATCCGGGAACGCGCATTTTCGCTTCAATCAGCAACATATATATATATATATATATATGAGATGGAGCCGACAAAGACAAGGCAGACCGGAATGGCCATTTCTGGCTTATTAGCCGTCATCAGCCAGTCATACCCAACCCCAAGTGTAGATCACTTGAGATTCGAACCCGGGATCATTGGTCATGGAGTTTGACGCTCTACCATTGAACAACGGGCCCGTTGTCCTGTCGGTTGTGATCGGGAATACCAATTATGACAGTAGGCGTTCGCCGATCAGGTTACGGAACACGCTCGTTCCGTTGTGCCTTGGGGCTCATACTAGAACCCTCGCAGGCAGTCGCACAGCGACTAGTAGTAGACATATATGAGATGGAGCCGACAAAAGATGTTCCGTAACCTGATCGGTGAGCGCCTACTGTCATAATATATATATATATATATATATATATATATCAGAAAGGAGACGACAGAGTCTGGGGGTTGATTGATACAGCACTGTTTCGGGCTTGTTTGCCTTCATTCAGCCAATCAAAACCCTGATCACCAGCTGGTACCGGAAACACAAACATGCGCTCAGACGCACCTGGTGCAGCTGGTCCACTACTGGGGTCTACCAGATGGGTCATAAGCACTTCATCAAACCGAAGTTCATCAGTGCCTCGCCACCTGCCATTCTCTGTCGCTGCAGATCGGGTATTTATTCACTCAGGAATGGGCGCACACCGATCCATTGGCTTCTTGAGGCAAACAAGCCTCGTATTGGCCGACTTCGGCCTGGAAGGTGGTTGCCTGTTCGTGACCCCTATCGCCCATGCGAGGCTTGTTTGGGTATGACGGCTAATAAGCCAGAAATGGCCATTCCGGTCTCCCTTGTCATTGTCGGTAACACATGATTTACATCATTCTACTAATTGCTGTGCGACTGCCGGCGAGGGTTTCGGTATGAGCCCCAAGGCACAAAGGAACGAGCATGTTCCGTAGCCTGCTCGGTGAGCGTCCACTGTCATAA